GCGGCCGCACAGCCCCGGGGCGCCGCCAGCAGCAGGTTCTCCGGCCGCAGCTCCGCCAGGGCCGCGCCGCGCGCCTCCAGCTGCTCCAGGGCCGCGCTCAGCTGCAGCAGGAGCAGGGCCGCCGCCCAGGCCAACTCCGCCGGCCGCCGCCGCGTGCCCACCTCTGCCAGCCACTGGGTCAGCGTGCGCTCCGGCACCTCGGCCGCCAGCACCACGGGGCCCGTCCAGGGCACCCCGGGCAGTGCGCCCTCGGGCACCAGGCCGCACAGCCCCTGGAGGTTGAAGTGTGGGGGCAGTGAGGCCTGCAGCTCCAGGCCCCACGGGCGAGGCTCCTCCGCTCCCGACTTGGACACCTGCGGGGGCAAAGGGGGGCCGTCAGGGCCTGACCGCCGAGACCCCCGGACGAGCGCCTCCACCTGCCCGCCCCGCCCCCGCTGCGGTTTCCGGTGGCGGAGGTGGGTTGCCTCGCCTCCGGAAGCAGGGGTTCAATGTGAATTGGGATGTTCGTGGCCCACGTGATTTTAGGGAGAGCGACGCTAAGGAGGGTGGTGTTTAGGGGTCAGGCTGTGCGGCCCGCCAAAGGCGCGGGTTCTTATCGCTCCGGGCAAGGGCAGGGGCAGGGGCAGGGGTGGCGAAGGCGCCAGGGCTGGGCCTGCAGTAGAAACGCAACTGCGGCCACGGTATAATTAAAACTTTCCAGAAGCCTCATTTCTAAAAAGCGATAAGAGATGTGAACGTAATGTTCACAGTAGTTTTTATTTGACCGGATATATCCAAGAGGTTACCACGGGCCGGTCATCAACATCAAATCTACGAACGAGGGGTTTTACATGACAGTAATTTTTAGATACTAAGCCTTGGAGATCTGGCGTATGGTTGGCCCTCAGAGCACATCCCGGGCCGGACCAGCCCCGTTTCAAGTGCTCATAAGTCCTACGTGGCCGGTGGCTGCAGGACCGGCCAGCACACGGCTCTTTCTAGCAGGTCAGGAGAGCATCAGCTCTGGGAATGAGATTCGAATCGCCAGGGGAGGGTTTTTGTGTTTGCTTGTTTGTGGATCCGGGATCCAACCGTCAACTGAACACACAGCCAGCGAGAACCTTCTCCCCACGACGCTCCAGTCTGTAAAAATTATGGGCCTGCACTAGCCCGTTTTGTCAAATGGGCGAGGTTCCCTGGTGGTGTGGTTTAACAGGAATCTTGTTTTTTTTTTTTTTTTTTCCTGAGTGGCACATAAAAGACAGAAGCGCCCTTAGGACAAATGTGGTGATACTCGCATCACCCAGGAGTCCGGGACTCCCCGCAAATGCTCAAGGCACAAAGGAAACGCTCCATACGTTTGGGCAGCTCCTGACGAGGATTATTCAGTGCGGTGAATGCAGCAGCTTTCTAGCGGCAGGGTTCGTCCGAGACTGGTTACAATGCAGATTCCTAGGCTCCTGAGGGGCATGGGGGGGGGGCGGCAGACAAGACCCCCAGCCATTTGCATGTCAGTGGCCCCACGCTTGAGAAACGTGGCGCCGAGGGCTGTGTTAGGCCATGCTCGCTGCAGACCAGGCAGCTGAGCCCCCGCCGTGCGTGTCCTGGGTTGTGCCTAAGATGGAAAACTGGAAACTTCGGAGGAGGCGGGGTGGGGGCAGGGCTCACCTTGGCCGCCAGGAGGTGCCACGACTCGTCGCCCACCCGCACCATGCGGTAGTAGAGGGCGTCCCCACTCTCCACGTAGGGCGAGCTGTCCAGGAGGCGGAAGTCGTGGCCGGGGTGGCAGGGGCCCGGGTGGCCCCCCAGGAGCCGGGCCTCGAGCCGGGAGTGCACAGTGCGGAGACCCTCCAGCTGCCGGGCCTCCAGGACGGCGCGCGTGGCCTCGGGGCAATTCAGGTCGTGCCAGGAGAGACCCAGTGAGGTGTCAAGGGAGCTGAAGGGCGGCTCTGCAAGGGGACAGGCTGGCCGAGCTTGGCCGTCATCCGCCTGGCGCTCGTCCACACTGTGGGACCCCAGAAAGGGCCTCCGGGGCTGCCTTTCCGGAGCAGGGCTGCGGCTGGGGGCCCTGTGGCTGGGCAGAGACTGGGTCCTGGACAGGGTCTTCTTGGGCAGGGGTGGGGGCAGGGGCTGCGGGTCAGCCGAGGGGGGCCCAGATTTCCGGGGGGGCCGGCAGGCCTTGGAGGGCAGCAGGTGGGCGCGGCCCTCACCGGGGGGGGGGGGGGGGGAGCGGGGAGGGGGTGAGGCCTCGCAGAGTCTGGGGCCTCGGGAACCTGACTCCACCCCTCAGCCTCGACTGCCTCAACGACGTCCAGCGGCCCGGTGCCCTGTGGGGGTACGAACAGCACCCCCAGTTTACAAAGGAGGAAACCGAGGCCCAGAGGAGTGACAGAGCAGTGGTCGAGAAGCGTCCAGCCCACAGCAGGCGGTCCCCTTTGCCGCATGGCTCTGGCCAGATGACCCCCCCCCCCCCCGTGAATTCCAGCTTCCTCATTTTTGCAAGCTGATGATCCCAGCCTTTTCTTAACAAAGTTTCATGAAAGATGTGGAAACAACCACTCTGAGTGAGCTCAGCCGCCATCGGGCAGGGGGCTCCCTCGAGGGTGACGAGAGACTCAGCCCTTCAACTCAGCCACCCGCCCCTGCCAGCCCGTGTCCCCCAGCCAGGGCCCCAGGGTGGCTCACCGAGGTTGCCGTAGGTAGGCTGAGTCGGCCAGGTGGGGGCGTCAGGTGCGGGGGTCTCTGTGGGCGGCGGGGGGCTGCTCATGCTGAAGGTCAGAGTTGGGGGCGTGCGTGGGCGGGAGGAGGACTCCAGGGGGCGTGCGCGGGCGGGCCCATGCGGGAGTCAGGAGGGCTCCATGGCGTTGGTGGGGGTGCAGGGACCCAGGCAAGAGGGGCGGTCTTGGTCTTCTTGCCTGGCCTTGACCTGCCGTGTGGCTCTCTCTGGGAGGGTTTGTCGCCCTCTCTGGACTCCTGTCCTCATGGGGCAGGTAGGAATGTCACCCATCAACTTTTCAGGGCAGGGGGAAGGACCCTGTACCTCTGTGACACGGACAGAATAGAATGTCCAGCTTCGAATGCGGGCCGTTGGTGGGGGGGGGGGGGACAGTAGCCAGGCACCCGCTCGGGCTTCCGTCCCAGAGCTCAGCTCCTCTAGCCCCCTCGAGCCAGGCAGTGGGCAGCGGCTGGCCCCCCCCCCCCCATTCCTGGTCACCCCAACCTCTGCAAGGTGCAGCATCTGCCCCCTCCCTGCCGAGCACCCCTCCAGGAGCCCCTACCTGCAGAACTGGAGTGACCAGGGGCAGGGGGTGGGCCTTGGGGACAGACTCCGGGCAGCTGCCACCCTGGCCTGCCGGGACAGTGTGCCTGCGGCCGCTGTGGTCCGGAAGTGCCGTGCAACTGTCAGACCGCAGGCCGGTGTGGGGGCCTCTGTGCCACTTCCCCAGCCTGGCGCCCCGCCCGCCCTCCCAGGACACCTCCCTCAAAGGTGGGGAGGGCATTCCAGGCAGAGGGCGCCGCCTGGGCCAGGAAGGGGGGCCCCAGGGCTGCGAGCAGGGGGGGTGACATGGGCAAGGTCCAAGGGGTCACCCCAGGGGGCTGGACAAGTTAGGCTCCCCGCCTTCGGGAGGGCAGAGAGCCCCGGCAGTGCTGGGGCAGCGAGAAACACCACCGACACCGGGGTGGCTCTTCCCTCTCTCTCTCTGCTTTCACTGTCCCTTGTGCAGGGCGGCTGAGAAGCCCCCAGCGCACCAGCCCCCCACCCGTCCCAGCTCCACGGAACCCGGCTCTGTTCTGACTCGCTGTGTGACGTTGGGCAAATCGCCACCCCTCTCTGTTCCGGGGAATAAAGGAGAGCGGTTCCCTTGTGCTGCCTCACGACAGTCACACCAGCTGGATTCTTCCTTAAAAAACAAAGGGGCGTCTGGGTGGCTCAGGAGGTTAAGCGTCCGACTTCGGCTCAGGTCGTGATCTCGCGGTTCACGGGTTTGAGCCCCGCGTCGGGCTCTGTGCTGACCGCTCGGAGCCTGGCGCCTGCTTCGGATTCCGGGTCGCCCCCTCTCTCTGCCCCTCCCCCACTCGTGCTCTGCCTCTCTCTGCCTCAAACGTAAACAAATATTTTTAAAAACTTTTAAAAGCCGGGATCATCTCACTCCCCACCGGAAGCAGATGAAGCCGCTCCGTGAACCCCTTCCTCGCGGGTCCCCTGCCACACCCAGCTGCGATTTGGGTGGGCTTCGACACCGGCGGCGGGAGGCGGGGTGCGGGCTCCAGGAACCTCGGGGCCGGATCCCACGAATCCTGGGCTGTCCCAGCTGGGACCAGCGGGGCTGAGCAGGCGGCCTCCTCACTGCCCAAACCCTGATCGCGGGTTCTCGTCCTTCCCTTCACGAGACCCTGGGGGCCAGCAGCCAGGTCACGGCTCTGAGCCACGACGACAGGGGGGAGGGGGGCCGTGCCACACTCTCCCCTCAGGCGCAGGATTTAAGGCGAGGCCAAAACAACCCCGCGCGGCAATCCGGAGAAATAACATTTTACCGTCATATTTACGAAGCCTCGTTGGCTCGCCACGGGCTGGTGGTCTGTTTTCGTGAATGAAGTTTTATTAAGCACCGGGGCCGGGCGGGGTCATGCCAGGGCAGATCCCGTTTTTACCTAAAAGATGACTGTTTCGGTCACTGTGCATACGGGACATGAACTAATTTTGTTTATGGAATGTTGGTCCTGATGAGTGTTCTGGGCGCCCCTTAGATGCGGTGCCCGAGGTGAGCGGTTCACCCACCCCGCCCCGGTCCCAGCCCTGCTGTGACAGCCGTGTGGCCTGGCAGGGGTGGGGGGGGGGTGGCGTGGGGGAGGGGCGAGCAGATGGCCAGGCTGGGACAGGGGTGAGATCTCCAGGGGCTTCTCCACCAGGACGGGGCAGGGTGACAAGCAGGTGACGCATGGGGATCCCCTGCCTGCCTCGAGCCGGCCTGTGCCCGCAGTGCCCCCCCCCGACCCTCCGCGGGAGGGGGGAGCACAGGGCCTACTGCCGGCACCCCCCTGAGCCCCACTGGGCAGGCGTCCCCCGAGGCTCGGGAACGGGGACCGCTTGCCTCGGCTCACCACGAAAACTGGCCATCCGCCTGTGAGTCGTCCCGTGCCCGCCCCCGCCGGCCGCTCGGCCTCCGTGTCGGGCCCTCTGGGGACCGTCATCTTCCGTCTGACAAGCAGTCACCGGGTCCTGCGGGAGCCGAAGCCAGGCTCTGCGCGTCTGGCGTGGCCCAGCGTGGCCGTGGGATGCTAAGTGCTCACGACTTCACGTGACGCTGGCCTTCCTGAGAAAAACGCTCTGGTTTTTGCAGCGGGCAGGGTCACGGCCCCCCAGGATGTCCGGGTCCAGATGTCCGGACCCTATGAACCTGCTACGTGTCGTGGCGGGGAAACTGAGGCTGCAGGTGCGACTGAGGCTCTGCTTGTTAGACGAGGGGGTGACGACCCTGGGTTCCTGGGGGCCCAGCGTCCTCACAGGTCCTCACAAGAGGGAGGCAGAGAGACGGGGCGGACCCCGTGCTGCTGGCTGTGAGGGTGGAGGAGGGGCCGACGGCCAAGGATGCGGTGCCTCCAGAAGCCGGAAGAGGGGGGAGACGGGGCCCCCGGGGGGGAAGCCGGCCCTGCTGACTCATTTTACAGGTTTGAGCTCCAGGACTAATGAATCTCAGTTGTTTTAAGCCACTAAGTTTTGTCACGAGGGGTCACAGCTCCGGGACTCCCCGGAGAGGGTGCTGGCTGGAGGAAACTGCCCTCCTTCCTAGCTCCATCTGGGAGGGGAAATCGAGACAGGGATGTTCAGCGTCCCTGCCCCGGGCCCACGTGTGCTACCTGGACCTGTGTCCTGTGTTTTGGGGGACCCCACGGACACCCTCTGAGGGGCCCCTCCTCGGTTTCCAGCCACCAACAGGCCGGGTCCTCTTTAGCTGGGCCTAGGCTGCCCCAGGAAGGTGGACCCCTCAGCCACGCCCCTGGAATAAGACGGGATTCAGGAAATCGTGGGCCTTGAACCCGGTTCAAGGGGAAGGGAGGCTCTGAGGGAGGGTCCCGTGGCCCAGCACCCTCGCCTCCCGGCTCCTTTTAAATCAGGCATGGGGGGGGGGGGGGCGCATCCCACAGCCCTGACACGTCCCCAGCTTCAAATGGGGAACTGAGACCCGGAGTGACACCGAGTGGCATTTGAGAACTGCCCCTGGCCACCTCGCCCAGGTCAGAGTCTGCTGACCACTCTGACTCGGCCTACCTCTTTCCAGAAAGAGCGCGGGCTCTCGGGAGCTGAGTTTCCAGCTCAGACGGGCTCTGGGCCCGAGTTTCCCCACTCTGCAGTGCGGATAAAGCTGCCTGCTCTCGGAGGCGCCCGGCTGGCTCCGTCGGAAGGGCCCGTGGCTCTTGATTTCGGGGTCGTGGGTTCGAGCCCCACCTTGAACATAACATACTTAAATACATCTTTTTTCAAAAAAGCTGCCTGCTTTCTCTCAGAGGCCTCAGAAGCAGGGAAACTGATGGGACCCCTTAGAAGAGGAGAGACACCCCCACCCCCACCCCCGGCCTGGAGGAAGCTGCCAGCTGTGAGGGCACAGCAGGAGTGCCCCACCTCCCCTTAGCTGGGGGCTCTGGGCAGATGCCCTCCATCCTCTGGCCCTCCCTGTGCCTCTCTGTAAAGTGAGGTCATGACAGGACCCGGCTCCCAGGGTGTCACCTGCATGGCAGGAGCTGGGGAACAGCACGCGGGAACAGCTCGGGCGCTCCCGAAGTGCTACTGTAATGTCATCTCAGCACGTGGAACAGCACGCGGAACAGCATGGGCACTCCCGAAGTGCTACTGTAACGTCATCTCAGCAGGCCGCTGTCACTCCACAAACACCTGTGGCTCAAGGCCAGCTCTGGGGCCAGCTCCGGGGCTGGAACGAGACAGTTCCCCCTGGGGACCCCAGAAGCCACTGCTTCCTGCCCTCACTCCTCCCATGAGAATTAAAAACAAAAAAACTGAGTCTGTTATTAAATCAGCTTCATTTTATTAGATTCCAACCAAATACAGCAGGAGGGGGCTGCGGGGCTAGGGGGCTGGGGGGTGCTGGGGGGCTGGGGGTTTTGGTTCCTGTTAGGATGGGGGGCTGGGGGGGTCTCGGTTCATGTTGGGATGGGGGTTGGGCAGAGGGGGTGGGAGATCCCCACTTTGCTGACTTTCGGTCAAGTCCTAATGCTGCTGTGAGAACACCCCCCTCCCATCTTTGATGATGGTAAAGGCACTTGGATGTCACTTTGAGGGGCCCTTGGGGTTGTTATGGCAACCAAGGTTAGGAGGATGTGAAGGGGGAACACGTGTCAGTTCTGCCCAACTCGGGTGGGGTTTGGGGTCGCAGGACACCCCCTTTGGCCGCCACTATGTCCGCCACGGGTGAGGTTGAGGCGGGGTCAGCGGCCCGTCACCCGGCCCCGCTGGCCCGTTTGCGGCCATGGGAGAAGGACCAGGGCGTCCCGACGCTCCCAGCCACACAGCCCAGGGAGAACGGCCCGTACCCCCTTCCGAGTTCCGTGTGAATCCTTTGCCCAAAACCCCCAGCGTTCACCCAGCTTTGTCTCTGGCTCCTCTCGGAAAGATCTTGAAGGATCCAGGATCCCAGTCAACCGTGAAGCCCATCCATGGGCCTGGCCTCTGTACCTGCGGCGGTGGATCTGACCTCAGACCCATTTTACAGACGAGGACACTGTAGTCCAGGTGGTTCTCAGTCACCAGATAAAATTACCCACGTGGGCAGGAAGAGGGCTGGTTTCGAGCCTTCCTATAAGGTCCTTAAGAATACTGTCCCGACCTCCTGGTGGGCGGCCAAGCTCCTGACTAGTCGAGGGGTCCCACATTTCCCACGCCCCTTCCTCCGATGATGCCCTGTCATCTGGCCCGGGTGGAGGGTGGGGGCAATAATCAGCCTGGGAGAGACAGGGTCATGGATGGAGCCAGTGTGGTGTCTGAATATTTCTGCAAAACCTCAGTTCCTGTTGCTTACCCCCAGTGACGGGGAACTCGCTATCTGAAGAGTAAAGGGGCAGTGACCTTGGGCAAGCTCTTCCTCAGCCTGAGCTGTAGTCTGCCCCCGGCTCCCTTGATCTTGAGCGCGAGTTCTGCCCCAAAGAGGCAGACACCGAGGGACCTCTGCTCCCAACAGCCGGGTCCAGACCCTCCCTGCAGCCTGCACCCTGTCCTGGCCTCGTTCTCCATGGCTGCCCCTGTAGCGCACCTAACGGGGACCCCAAGAACCTCCCACACTCTCTGGCCTCACTCCCCACACGGGCGGTGGGTCACAGGGCTGGGCACGGTAGGGCCACCCTCGGGGCTCATCTGAAGCTGGCTCAGGGGTAGTGTGGACTCAGGGTGGAGGGTCACTC